GAGTTGGTTGTCTTGAAGGGTGAGGCCTCTGCTGGTGGAACTCACTTGAGTGGGCTGCCACATACCCAAGAACATAGAGGCAAAACTAATCAGACTCAGTGTGTCAAGGAGTATAAAAGGTTAGTTGGGTATGGGATGGCGTGACTATGATCAAATTATGATATATAAAACTCAATGAATTTAAAAAAATATTTTAAATGCTCTGTCCCGAGATGATAGCGTTCTAACTAAGGAGATAAAGGCTTATTCTCCCATGGCTCTGATTGACAAACTTGAGAATCTGTTGCTCATGTGCAGGTGACCTGTGACCCTGCCTCAGTCTCCTCTTCTGGCAAGCATCACCTCCTTGGGTCTGTAGATCAACTGAGTTTCTAGAAGTTTGCCTTGTTCCCAGCACTTAATAGTCTATCTGTTGCAAATTAGTTCACTTTAAATTTTTTTCATTGCTTTTCTTTCAAGATAATTTTTTTATTGAAGGATAATATACATGCAGAAGTACACATAAATACACAACTTTAATTTTCACATATCCCCAAGGCCTCTGTTTAAATATCCAGAAAATTCTACACTTTCGGAGCTCCCCCCATTTTTCTCTTCCTGTCTCTCTCTTCAGCGTTTACAGCTTACAGTCTATATCACCGACTAAGTCAGTGAAGGGGTTGGAAACAGGAGCCTGGGGGCAGAAACTGAAGCAAAGACCATGGCCGAATGATGCTTACTGCCCTGCTCAGCTACTTACCGGTCTGATACACACAAAAATCCGTGGCTCTTCCACCCAGGGACAGGACAACTCACAGTAGCCTGGGCCCTCTCATATCAATTCACAATCAAGAAAATGCCCCCACAAACACACCCATTGGCCAATCTGATGGAGGCAATTTCTCAGTTGAGATTCTCTATTCTCATATGATAGGTTTGCCCCAGGTTGAGAAAAGCCAACTATGGCACACTTCCAGCTCCTTTTGAGGAAAGTTAGAGCAGGAACTCAAGGCAGAAACCACGGAGGAACTTTACTTACTTGCTTGCTTGCTACCTGGTTCATGCTCACCTAACCCAGACATGCATTCGAGCTACACCTGCCTAGGGAGAGTGTTGCCCATAGTGGACTGGCCCCTCCTCCATCAATTAATGTCCTACAAACATGCTCACAGGTCAGTCTAATGAAGGCAATCCCCAGAATAAGATTTCTTCAGAGAGCTCTGGGTTGTGTTGAGTTGACAGCTGAACCTAATCAGGAGAAGTCTGTTTCTCTTCTTAGAATGAATACTGAGGTTCTGGAATTTTCCTTTCCCAGGTGGTCTTGACACTTAATGATTCCCTATCTTTTGGAAGTTGTCTCTAGAGCAGCACTTCTCAGCCTTCCTCATGCTACAATCCTTAAAGGGACCCTTAAAGGTTTCTTATTCACGAGGAACCCATAGAGTTCACGTTGTGGTAACCCCCCAACCATAAATTTTCATTGCTACAACTAACTGCAATTTTGCTTTATCAGGTAAGAATGCATTTGAAGGATAATAACCAAAGAACAGAGGCCAAAACCAAAAGAGATTGTTTCTGATAGAAATCAGCGATCGCTAGTATTGGACCACCTACTCAGTCATAAACTCATCATTGGCTAGCAGACACATCTGAGAGCCAATCACTAGTTTTGCTCTGTTGCTATCTTAGTTGGGGTTTCTATTGCTATGAAGAGACACCATGACCACCGCAACTTTATAAAGGAAAGCATTTAACTGGGGCTTCATGGCAGGAAGCATGGCAGTCAATGTTCAGGCAGATAGGTGCTGAAGAAGGAGCTGAGAATTCGACATCCTGATCCAAAGGCCTAGCTTGAACATAAGAGACCTCAAAGCCTGTCTCCACAGTGATACACTGCCTCCAACAAGACCATACCTCTCAATAGTGCCATTTCCTTGAGCCTTTGGGGGCTAAGTTCATTCAAACCACCATAGTTGCAAACAAAAAATAATTTTATGTAGTTCAAATAAGCTTTTTTGCACAGGGTCTTCATTCTGTAACTTGGAAGACAGGAACAAAAGACTATTTTAAGACAGATGAAAATAACATTAAATTCAAATTTTAATTCCCACAAATAAAGTCTTATAAACGCTGTTCATTTGTTTGCATTTTTGCACATGACAGTTTTAATATGGGAAGTTCAGGGCAGAGCGGCTGCGATGAGATTCTCAAAGGCATTTACTCTCAGGCTCTTTACAAATGAAGCTTGCCCGCCCCGGCCAGAGAAGCCCAAGCTCCATTCAGCTTTCTTTGCTGTTGTCCTCAAATTGCCTTAGCAGTGTGGTTCTTTGTTAGCACAACCTCGGCCCTGGTTCTGAAACCAAAGCCTTCCTAGAATCCCAGCCAAATGCTCTCACATCCCTACCTAGACCCGAGATCAGCATCTCTCACCAGTCAGAAACAAGTTCCAGCAAGGAGAGGGTCTGGAACCAAGACATAGACCTGAGGGCTGCAAGCTACAGAACTCCTGTGGTCTTTTCATAGGAAAGACTAAGTAAATAAGAAACTCGGGATCAATAAACATGAGTGACTAACTTATACCTGCAAACTCCGTGTAGAGCCAACTGAAGCATTTGTGCACACTTGTAAGGCTCATTAAGAGTTGTATGAACTACCGAGCGATGATGGCCCACGCCTTTAATCCCAGCACTCAGGAGGCAGAAACAGGTGGATCACTGTGAGTTCAAGGCCAGCCTAGTCTACAAGAGCTAGTTCCAGGACAGGCTCCAAAGCTACAGAGAAACCCTGTTTTGAAAAACCAAAAAAAGAAAGTCGGGGGAAAAAAAAAAAAGAACTCGAAGAATTCAGAAAGGCTTAAGAAATAGTCAAGCTCTTATTTTCAAAAGGTGCAACTGGGGCTGGAGAGATGGCTCAGTGGTTAAGAGCACTGACTGCTCTTCCAGAGGACCCGAGTTCAATTCCCAGCACCCACATAGCAGCTCACAGTTGTCTGTAACTCCAGTTCCAGAGAATCTGACATTGTTATACCAATGCACATGAAATAAAGTTAAATAAAGTTTTAAAAAATGAATAATAAAAGTTGCAACTGGAAACACGATGTTTTCCTATCAGAATATCTTCCCCTATAGAGAAAATGAAGACACAGTTGGAGTGGGGGTAGGGGGGTTAGAATGGGCAATTTTTAGAGAGAAGCTCAAAAGTTGGGCTAGGCCAGCTCGACTCTAACTAGCAGCTCTAGGCCCACCATTTCTGCTTTAGAAATCCTTCTGTAAGGTTTGTGTTCAAAGACAATGAGCAACATAATAGCCTAGGACTTTAAATCCCCATCTGAGTGTCTCCAATAAAGACATTGATTAGATGTGTTGTTGAGATCTTTAAATCAGTGCATAACACTAACACAGCAAAATACTATCATTCTGGAAACTTGAGGGTCATAATTTTGAAATGTCCTCACAGCACCTTGTTAAAGAGTTACAGACAAGAAAGCAGTGTCAAAAGGCCAGTCAGATCTAAGGCTAGCCCAACTCAGTCTCCCGGAGACAGAACTGCATCTGAACAGGCTTTTCGTGTTGTTCCTCTGGTAGATGGTGCTATTGAAACCTAAGTCAAATGTAAATCACCCTTACGTCTGCCAGACTTGGATCGCAGGAAGTACCAGACAAAACAGGGCCCACGGAAGGTGAAGGCACTTACCAGACAACCTGTGTTCAAGCCTCATGACTCACATGATAGAAAACTGACTCCCACAGTGATCTTCAGACCTTCACACACATGCCACACACACCCCAAAAAACTTAGAAGCCACTACCAAAGCCACCCAGGACTGGCAGAAGCTTGGCACCCCTGTTTACTTTAGAACTCCAGCCCCTGTGGAGAGAGCTCAAGAAAAGCAAAGCTAGGACACGACCCCAAGGCCTAGTGTAAAACCAGCCCTCATTCCATCCTTCCTCATGGATGCAGAGACAAGACAGGGTCATAAGGCAGTTCTGAAATGTCTAAATGTCCCAAGTGTGCTCCTCTTCCCCTCCTGTTGAGTGGGCAGAGCATGTGATGTTGGAAGGTACAAAATGTTTCTCTTCTACGCCAAAACCAAAGTGTAATTTTGACATGAAGTCCATCCTGGAATCCTTCTCTATGTCTATTTTTGACTATTTCAGAAGTCACTTGAGTGGATGCTAGAATAGGCAAAGATTTATCACCAAAAGCACTTTTTCCATGGTCCTTAACGATGAGACTTTAAACCCAATGTATACTCTCTCGTCTTGCTGGGTCAAGGAAAGGAGGTGGGAAATCCAAATTAAGAGACTCTCAATTGATATGATAGCAGTTTATTGAAGATAATTATAAAAAGCTAATTTCCATTAAGTTAAAGTTATTAGGCAGGAAGTCTCTTAAAACAGTGATACTTAATCCTCCTATCAGACAAATGACCTACCCTCACTAGTCTGAAGACAATGAGGGTCGTGATGGCCCTCCACTCATGGCTAGTCTGGGACACAAACACCCTTTGACAGAGTTTCCACTTACTCCAGAGGCCAGAAATTCTGGGCTAAAGGAACTGTCATTCCAAGGCTAGATCAGCTTCTAGTCAGCCCTGAACCTACGGTTCAGACAATAGTAATAGCCTGGAAAAATCCAAAATAGGGCCTCATTTAAACAGTAGAGTTTCAGTCCAACCCAGAGGGGAAAACACTCATTTAAGTTCTTGTTCCCCCGTCTAAGTATCCTCCAAGATGGCCGTTAAACCTAGCCTCCCCAGACAATTCATGACAAGCAACCAGATACCCAATGGGCCCAGACTCTCAATGATACCAATGCCTTAGAATAATAGTGCCATAGACTTTGCCTAGAAAGAGAAATATATACGGAGAGCTGAGTCCTGCATCTCTATCTTGACTGTGCTTTTGGAAAAGAGAAACCAAATCCCCTCGTCGACCCCCAAAGAGCTCTGGAGAGAAGACCTTTCACAGACCACTAAGACGTAAACGGTTATCAGACCCACAAGCAGCTCCACGGGGATCTCAGGAGCAGCCACACTTCTCTACTATGGACGTGTTCATGTAGTGCACGCTCATCTTGTGTTCATCGTCCTGGACCATCAAGGAGAAGAGACGAACCTTGATAGGACTACAGACCTGAAAGAGCCTGGAGCAAGTGGGTGCCTCCCTCTGCAGAACAAAGGACAGAAAGGTGAAGTCTACTGTAGTCCTGGTTCCATAGCTAATCAGCAGACATGGCAGGTTAAGTGGGGAAGGAGGCTGGGAACATGAAGCCTCCAGATTAGGACTTCGGGGTGAACTTTTAAAAACTGAAGGCATTCAAGGGGGCACGGTGGCTTACTCCTTGAATTAATTAGAGGCAGGTGAGTTCAAGACCAACCTGTTTTACATAATAAGTTCTAGGACAGCCCAAGCTACACAGAGAGACCCAACCCTGACTCAAAGCAACAAAATAAAAAGACTGGAGGTGTGAATTATGAACAAAACTTATAGTAAATAAGATGACATTGAGGGAAAGACATGACAAACTACATTAGTGCAGATTACATTAGCCCCACTTCCACTGGCTTCTTTGGCTCAAAAGGAGACCCGCCCAGAGAGCCAAAATTTAGTGTTATTCCAATATAGCCCCAAATAAAAATAAGACTTCATTTTGTACCTTATAGCATTCGAAATTGGAGTGAAGGAGCTCACTGTTCAGGGCCAGGCAGTTCCCCTGACAGGATGGAAAGCTGAAAGTCTTGGGTGCCACGATACACTGGCCCCAAGAAGCTCTGTAGAGGTCCACCTTTTGATCCTGCAGGTGACAGAGCTTCTGTGTGGGGAGATGAGCCTGGTCACGGTCCACCTCCTGATGGTTCGGGCTTAAGAGCAGCTGTTCCACATCGGGGATAAAGGGCTCCTGGACGTAAGGCAGGTGAAACAGGGATGGTTGAGCGTAGGACGAGGATACAAAGAGCAGCACTGCATCTCGCTTGTCTTGGGTTCTAGAGCATTCCCTCAGGATGGCTCCGGGGACTTCAGTGGACACAGACTTCTCTGCCAGGAGGATAGGCACCACCTCCATCCAATACACTAGCAAACAGTAGATCTCCAATAGAACTCCTCCTTCTAACTCATACGATGAGAAGATGATAGGGAAAGTGTCCAGAAGGATCCTCTGTAAGTCCCTTTCGTGGTCCTTGAACTCTAGAATGAGCTCAGAGGCATGAGGAGGAACTGGTACCCAGGCCCAGAGCTGTAGTCGGGAAGAACCCAAGAAGGGAGCTGCTTCAAAGTGCAGAAGCCAGTAACTATGTAGGAACTGGCTGCCTGTGGGAGCAGAGGGAAGCTTCAGAAGGTTGCTGTCACAGTCCCACAGAGAAAGACATTATTCCCTTACTCCCCATCACCCCAGACTTGCAGGCCAAACAGTTGCTTAGCAGATCCAGCTGTGTACACCCACTCATGAAGCCAGCTCTTGATTCTATGGCAACTAAAAAGTGGATTTCTCATCATCTCCACTTAGGACCCCATGACTGAAATTAAACCAGAGAAGGCAGCCTCAGGGCTGATGATCATATACTGGCGCTATATAACCCAGGACAAGCCACTTGCCCTGCCACATGTCATAGCGCACTACAGTTGCTGGCAGGACTACCTGTGTTGGCACTCCATACTTTAGGAGAACATCTTTGCCTACGAAACATTGGGACGCCTGACATTAAGTCTAAGTCTACCTCTGGTATCCACAGAGCTGAAACCAGGAGACAGACCTGAAGACAGCTGCGTATTCCTGCCCAGTAACTACTCCTTGCTACTCAACTCCTAAGAAATTCAAATGTCTGTGTTTCCCTGCTAGCCCCATAAAATCCTACGCCATGGCTCCCTGATTCTTGACTCCCCAGCAGAGAACAAAACTGTAGTCACTCACTTTTAGATGTGATGGTAAAGCCATGTTGTCTGGAAGAAAGGATCTCACTGACTCCAGAAGGTAGAATGGCAGGGGAACATTCCAATGGCTGCACCCAGCTAAAATTTATGCACCAAAGACCCAGCACAAAAAGACCACAGCTAAGCCAAGAGCGGCCACCCATGCTGCAGCGAGACCCCATCGCACTTCTCTCCAAAGCTGGCGGCCCCATCTACTGCCCTTATATACCCAACCTGCCCAGGTGCCGGCCTTAGGTTCACGGGTACAGCTTGGGCCTTATCGGGAATCCAAGAAGTGGATTCAGGTGGGAGAATCTGCCATTCTCAGGACAGCTTCAGAATCTGCTTATGAGATCATACAGAGTATGATCAAACTAAACTCAGAATGCGCAATAATATAATAGCATGTCTAGGGAGTGTGTATTGACAGAACGTGGCAATCCAAAGGCTACAACGAGAACAGGTTTGGAGGCTGAACCAGCTGCACTCAATCTTGAGTCCTCCAGAGCATGGTTCTCAAACTTTAAACAACCAAATGGCCTCAGTGTTGGTTTAAAACGGAGATTGCTCCCTTGCCAGATGGAAAACATCAGTTAATAGAATCTGAGAAGTTACCTTTCTAGCAAGTTCCCAGATAATGCTGAGGCTGCTGGTCCTGAGACCAGACATTGAGAATCACTGATACATGTTGTCTCCAGTACACAGCCGGTACATAGAAAATGCCCAGTAAGTATGCTTGATCATTAGACATAAATAAGGGGTGACTGGGTATTGCAAAACTCTGGAATTCTTTACAGAAATTCCTTCCCATCAAAAGGGTAAAATTCCCTAGATCTGGAAGTATCAAATCAAGTGCCCGTCTTGTCGTAATTGTGTTTAAGGAGAGGAAAATTGCAAGTCGTCAAACCGGTACAAAAATGACAAAAGTCAAAGATGCTGCCACAATCGTCTTCAAGAGTCAGACCTAGTGATTGTTCTGAGCACATTACACACATGTGTAAGTACAAAATGAACCTGTCAATTAAGGTAAGATAAGCTTCACCCATATACTGCTTGGTATAGAACTTGCTTTTATTAAAAGACCAAATTACACCGACAGACACACAAACATAAAGAAGAAACCTACGGGAGATTTAGTGCCATGAAAAAAAAACTGTCTAAAATTATGTAAATAAGTATATCAAAATTAATAATCTATCTTTAAAAATGTTTCCCCGGCATCAGCTCACGGACTCACCCAGCAACACAGAAAGCTTGCGGGGTCAGCATTCAGATAATTGCTTTGTAGCTGGAAAATAGAAAAAGAAAGATAGAGATGAGCCCAAGACAGGCTTCTGTCAGTTTCTAAGGCACAGCAGGCTGTGCGGTAGGACGGCTTTTCTGAAATTTTGCACTTTGAAAATCATGAGATGTTGCCAGATGTGGTGATCCACAGCTTTAATCCCAGCGTTCAGGAGGCAGAAACAGGTGGTACTCTGAGTTCAAGGTTAGGTTCCTGCAACTAGCTGCAGGACAAACTAAGGCTTTATAGTAAGGCAGACCCTATCTCTAAAATAGAATAAATTGAATGAGCTACAGAGCTAGGGATATGGCTCAGTCGGTGTAGTATTTGCCTAGCGTGCATAGTCCTGAATTCAGTCTCTAGTGCCATAAAAACGAGGCATAGCACACATTTATAATCTCAACAATACAGGGGTAGAGGCAGGAGGATTAGAAATTCAAGGTCCTCTTCTGCTACATAGAAAATGTGTAGCCAGCCTGGGCTTCATTAGACCTTCTTTTAAAAAAAAATAATTAATAAAAATAATCATATCATGGAACTAACTCAATTTAGAAAAAAAATGAGTTTTGGTGAAGGAATACGTACTTTTAAAAGCTAAAGATCGAAAACTAATTTAGAAACCAAATAATTTGTGTGCCCTCCCACCCCGGCAGACCACTAATTGCCACCAGCCCCTCTGTTACTTTCTTATTTAGTGAGAAAGTGATGATTAGCCTCTCCTTGGAGCTGAGCTATGTCCTCTGCTTTTTAAGGAGCAGGTTTTATAGAACTCCAATTAAATATGTAGTGAGCTTATGGAATCTCACTGCAAACCTGGATCTCCTTTTTGTTTACATAAATTAATCTTCAAATTCTCAGCAAGGCTGCACCAAGTGTGAATGTGTGAAGGGAATTCCTTCGAGAACTTGTAAATTGCCTTGAGAAAGAGCGGCAATAGCGGCAATAGCCATCCGGGCATAGAAGCTTGTTTTGGTAATTTGTGGCTAAGCAGCTGTTGTTTTGTTAGCTTCTTTTACAGGAGAAAAATCTGAAAATGAATCAGGCAGAGAGGCCAGATTGCTTTGTATGATAAATGTTTCCATACGCTTCTCAGAGGGCTTCCCTGTTTGCGAGAAGAGTCAGCAACAAAAGATCATCCACTAACTGTCCCCCTGGAGAGAGCGTTGGCCAGTGATAGGGACACCTCAGATTGCAATGGATTATATCTATGTGTCACTCCACAGCTGGGAGGGCAGGGTGAGAACACAGACGAAGAACATGGGAGCCAACTCCTCTGGGAGCCTGCAAAACCCAGCAAAGGCCTGGAGGGGAAGGCTAGTGTCGATGCTGGTAAGGTGCAGGCCCTCTCCGTGCCCTTCTGTGCATGTGGATGTCCTGAGGATCAGAAGCAGTTGCCAACACGTCGTACCTGATAGGTCCCACCGATCGGGGTGCTTTGTAAATTGTAAACTGCGTGTCTCCACTGTGGACGGGGTGTCACGCACATTCGCAACACAATCATCTTTAAATTTCCTTGAGTACTTTGCCCATTTAAGTAATTATACAGGTTCAACCATTAAGAAGCCACGGCTGGCAAGATGGCTCAGCTAACTAAGATGCTTGCTGCGAGAACCTGACGGCTTAAGTTCAACCCGCAGGACCCACGTAAAGGAAGGAGAGAACCAGATCCACAAAGTTGTCCCCTGCCCTTCACGTGAATACCTGAACACAAGCACACCACCACCATCACCACCACCAACAACAACAATAACAATAATAATAAATAAAATTTAAGAAACTTTTAGAAGTTTTTAGATAAAAATAAATTATATAAGTAAAACTATAAGCATCATCGATACACCCTAAAACACAAAAACATAGAAACAGAAGAATAAGAAAATACATAGGAATTCTATTTTTAGTATATTATTCCTGCCCCCAATGGGGGATAGTGGAGATCTCACTCTAAAGTCATACCGAATTTATTTGAAGATAAAGAGTGATAACAACAATATTCGCATAGTACATGCAAATACTGCTCAATATGACTAATTCTGGTGCTCCCAACATACTAATTTGTTTGATGTTGTTGTTTGATGTTGGTAATGGTGTAATTATTGTGTTTCTTTCTCAGGTGATAAAACTGAAGTCCAGATGGTCTTTCTCTCTCTCTCTCTCTCTCTCTCTCTCTTTTTTTTTTTTTTCCCGAGACAGGGTTTCTCAGTAGCTTTTTGGTTCCTGTCCTGGAACTAGCTCTTGTAGACCAGGCTGGCCTCAAACTCACAGAGATCCGCCTGCCTCTGCCTCCCAAGTGCTGGGATTAAAGGCGTGCGCCACCACCGTCCGGCCAGATGGTCTCTTAATCAATCTATCTGCCGCCACACAATTACCAAGGAGTAAGGAAAGCCTTGAAGCCCAGGCAATCGAAAGCCAGAATTTAGTTAACCTGTACCTGGAGAGCCTGATAAATGATCCCACACTAACCAGTAAGGGAAAGGGTTCCTGTGCATTGACTCCCACCGTGTCTGAGTGATGGAATGACAAAGTGACTTTCCATGTAATAATTGTAGCTTCAAATGTGTGTCTGTGCCTCTGAAGTCTGAAAGGGCCTCTGGAGCAGAGCCGGGGTGTGTATTTACAAGGCAGCACTGAGCACCTATACCTACCTCCACACTAGTGCTCCTGGTAAGTGCTGTTAAATGGCTGCTGGGTAAAAGAAAAAAAAATAAGAGAGAGAGAGAGAGAGAGAGAGAGAGAGAGAGAGAGAGAGGAAGAAGAAGGATCTTCGAGTCAGAGCCCCTGGAGCTAGAGTTACAGGCAGTTGTGAGCTACCCTGCTGGTTATGAAAACTGAGCTCTGGTCCTCTACAAGAGTAGCAAGCATTCTCCACCACCAAGTCTGCTCTCAAAACCCCAGAGGGGGAAATAAAAACATTTCAAAAACTGAGTGCATGGAGGGACTTAACCCAAATCACTATCAACCCAAATCACTGCTTGAACTAGGACTGGAACTCTCACCTATTAACAGAAATACTCAGACTTTTTTTTTTTTTAAACTAAAAAATCAGTCTATTGTTAAGCCAACACCTGGGGGAGATGGACATGGATCTCATCAAGCTCCAAGCGTGGATACTGGCCATTCATGATCTCCAGACCCTTGAGCTTAAAGAACAAAGAGAAAAGATGAAAGAAGAGAGATAAGATAGGGCTTGTGAGGCCCTATTCTTGTCTCCTCAGAAGAGTTGAAGAAAATCTGTGCTTGAGCTCTGGAGACAGCAGGAACTATATCTCATTGCAACTGTAACCTGTGTACCTGTTTTTTTTTTTTTTTAAAAAAAATAGTAATTGAAATTTTAAAAAGAAACCTGGGTGATTGACAAGTGACGGGCTTCCTTTGTATAAACCTGGTTAATATGGCATTCACACGGGATGTACGCTTTTGCCTCCTTGATGGTTGTTTTGTCGAGCTACCCAGGCTGCAAGATCATGTGACAGTTTACCCCAAACCAGGAAGGGCAGTGTGCTTCCATCCTTTTGAATAACACAGTTTGATACTGGGATATGAGGCCCAAACCTTGAAAAGTCTCTTCCAATATTTGCAGCTAGACAAACTCCCGGGCACATTGATTAAAACACGAAGTCTCATAAAATGTGTGTATCTTTCTACACTAACCATTTGCACCCAAAGCTTAATATCCAGAGCTCCCCACTGAACACAGTGTCTGTGCAACTGCTTTAATAAATTACTGCTTAATGTAGCAGGAT